TTGATTGGAGAGTTGTTCCATATACCAAAAGTTGTAGGTTCCATTCCCACTCAGGGCACATACCTAGGTTTTGGGTTCCATCCCAGGTTAGGGAGGCAACTGATTAATGTTAATGTTTCTCTCTCACGTTGATATCTCTCTTTCCCCCTTCCTCTCCTTATAAAATCAATAAAAACATATCCTTGGATAATTATATACATACTAGAGGCCCAGTGCACAAATTTGTGCATGGATAGGGTCCTGAGGAGTGAGGGTGGGGGGCGGGATGCAATCGGCCCTCTGGGTGGGCGGTGGGACACCCTTGCAGGCCCGGGATCTGGATCAGTCCCACTGATGTTTGTGTCAGTTTTCAGGAGCCATCTGCAGCCACTTTTATATCCTTTCTTCCTTGTGGAGCATCTAGGGAGGGGAAGCGGCCATTAGCCTGACCTCCAGGAGTCTGGCAGTGCTGTCAGGATTGTGTCTGCGGCACTGGTCTGTTGGTGCCTGGCCTGTTCTCCAGAGATTGGACCTGCAGGACTACTGAGGGAGTGAGTGGCTGTCGCCGGGCTGGTGGGCCATCAGGACAGGTCTGTCAGCTGAGTGATACTCCCTTTGTGGGAACACACTAACCACCAGGGGGCAGCTCATGTGTCTGCCCCCTCATGGTCAGTGCATGTCATAGCGACCAGTTATGATGGTCACTTAGGCTTTTATACATATAGAGACCCCAGGATTGCATAGTCTTGTATATCCATCCAATGAGCAACGTGAAAATAAAGACCATATAGACAATGCCATGGAAAGTTTTATAGGCCAAGCCTAGAAGTGGCACACATCACTTCTCCCCACATTCCGTTGGTAAGGAAGTAGCATATATATTATATGACCCCTGCATAGGTACAAAGGAAGCTGAAACTAAAAGGATGTAAATTTTACGTAAAAGGTTTTTTTTTTACTGATATATGAGTGTGGGCATATCATGTTGATTTCTATAATAGCCAACACAAAACTTCTAGCATTTTAGCATAATTGAGAGCTATCTCTTGCCTGAGTTACTCTCCAATGACTTAGTGCAGGGAAGGATTCGTTTCTCATCTGCGCATTTATTCAGGGACCCCAGATACTTCCAACTAGTAAGTCTCTTGAAGAGCAGTAGTACTCAAACGTTCAAATGTATCAGAATCACTTGGAGGGCTTGCTAAAGCAGATTTTTTGACCTACTCTCAAAGTTTCTGATTCAGTGGTTTTAGGTTGGGGTCCAAGAATTTTCATTAATAACACTTTTCTGGATGATGTTGGTGCTGTCATATTATAAACTTGGGGATCACAATTTGATATCCTTTGAGTTTATTCTTGTTAACTACTTCCATACCCCACTCTTCAATAGTCTCTAACAAGTCATAGCAGAAGACATGGAAGGTCTTGGGATATTTATGGGTCAGGCCTGGAAGTGGCATATATCTGACTCTTCCCACATTCCACTGGTATTCCACTATATGGCCCCAGCCTAGATGCACACAAAGGGGGCTGAAACTAGCAAGATGCCAAGGAAAGTGAAAACTCACAAATGTTAGTGAGTGTTAACATTCTTAGTCACAACTGGTGTGTACACATCATTAAATTATTTATAATGATAAAAACAATTTATTAAGGTTTTCTTTAATATTGATATAATCAGGGAAGAAATCTAAATTATACAGCTATTTCACTGTCATTAGAATTCATTTATCATCTATTAGGCAAGGGAATAATAAATTAGAAATGTCATTGACTCCCTGAGGAAGCACATTGATAACATTGATTGAAAACTGTGATGCTAATGCTTGTCGATTTTTAAATATTCTTTAAGATTAAAAATAAATTTAAAGAAAGGTAAAGAAAAGAAATTGCACTTAAGTGTCAATAAGAAAATAGTACAACTCAAATTCAGTAGTTCCCTCAAGTGACTTTCATGACAGAGAGATCCGTGTGTGAAATTAAACAGCATGTGTCATTTGTTGAGGATTTTTCCATGGGTTGTATTTTTCTTAGTGTAATCTGAGCTTTTCAACTAAGTTTTCACTGCTCCATTTATAATTTTTCCTATATTTATTTACTCAAATATATTATTCTTCATGTCATAGTGCCAAGAAATCTGGTTAGTAAAAATGCCAGATTCTTTTATTTGATTTTATTTGATTTCATTAGGGACCATCCGCCTAGCTGCTTAAGTGCCCGACTACCGTTTGCAGTTAAACATTCATTAAGGAATCCCCAGTGGGTTCATTTGTTTCACTGAGGTCCAATTACAGTGCCACAAAAGCAGTTTTTGTAGCAATTAGCTGATTTTTCCTGTTTATGTTCTGTCTCTTTAGGAAGAGGACTAGCTTGTGGAGGTCAGATTTTTAATTAGGCACGATTTAGGGCCAATAAGAAAACTGATAATTTACTAAATGGCTGTGGTGGACTTAACAGCTCAAGAAAGAGGTAAATAACGCAACAGGGGCCCCAGGACTCTGTTTTCCTGGTGAACCACACAATGTAAGGAATAGATTATGTGTTAAGTGGTTGTCATTGATGCTAATGTGCCATGCAGGGCACCGGTGTCTTAACCTCAGGTGCCATCAGGATTAGTCATTGGCAGTGGCTCTGTTCCTGGTAGCATTTCATGAAGGAGAGGGATTCGCTTTTATTCTATTTCCACAAATTTGGTCTGAGAAAGAAACATTTGATAAATAATGCAAGAATATATAATTATCAAAATGCTAGGGTATAATCTACAACAGTACCCTAAATTGACACTAACTGTAAGATTAGCATTCAAAGTGTTATATGTATACTCTTATGGGCTGTATTATGTCCCCCCCAATTTCATATGTGAATTCCTCCAGTACCTCAGAATGTGACTGTATTTGGACACAGGGTCTTTAAAGATGTAATTAAGGTTAAATGAGGTCATTTGGGGTAGGGCCTAATCCAATAAGACTAAGGTCTTTATAAGAAGAGATTAGGACACAGATTCACACAGCCGGAAAACCATGTGAAGACATAGGGAGAAGAGAGCCATCTACAGGCCAAGAGAAGAGGTTTCAAGAAACCAACCCTTTTAACATCTTGATCTTGGCCTTGTAGCCTCCTGAACTGTGAGGAAAGCAATTTCTGTTGTTTAAGCTACCTAGTCTGTGGTACAGTAGTCTCCCTTCTTTGAGGGAGTTATCTTCCATGACCCCTAGTGGATGCCTGAAGCCACCAATGGTACAGAACCATCTAGGTATCTTTTTGGTCATTTCTTCCACCCACAAATTTAATGCCTTTTTCATTTTCACTAAGCACTTTTCATGCACTGTGCGATAACGTTTGCAGTTTGAAGTGCTATAGCAAAACTAGCATAATGTCTTTTTTCTTGCTCACAATGTAATGGCTAGAAGATTTGAGCAACCTCCACATACCAATTTTTCCCCCTTCTCTTATGAAGTCAAGAACTTTCACCTTTTTACTTAAAGGAGACACTTTATGGATTCTCTTTGGCATATCCAAATTGCCAGCATTATTACTTTTGAACTTTGGGACCATTGTTAAGTAAAATAAAGGTTACTTGAATACAGTACCATATTACTGTGACAGCTGATCTGACTACCAAGAGTGCCACCAAGTGACTAATGAGGAAGAAGCACAAACAGAAGATACACTAGCCCTGGCTTGTTTGGCTCAGGGGATAGAGCGTTGGCCTGCGGACTGAAGGGTCCAGGGTTCGGTTCCAGTCAAGGGCACATGCTGGGTTGTGGGCTTGATCCCCGGTGGGGGGCATGCAGGAGGCGGCCGATCGATGATTCTCTCAAAACACTAGACAAAGGGTGATTTATACCCAGGTGGGATGGACCAGAGGTGGCTAGAGAATTCATTACACTACTCAGTACAACAAATAACTTAAAAGTTATGAATTGTTTATTTCTGGAATTTTCTATTTAATACTTTTGGATTGCTGTTGATCCCAGGTAAATTAAATTATGGAAAGTGAAACCGGGGATAAGGGGGAACTACTGTACTTTGTTAATAGCAGCCCTAACAAACTAATCCAAAGACCTAATAGAGGAATTTGAGTAATCATATTTAGATAATAAACATATATTATTGTATGTATTCTCATTAATATCCCAAATCTATGGCATCACAGGGTAGCTCCAAAAAAGATTTGTATTCATATTTTCCTATCCAGTCATCTGAGCAAGAGAAGCCGAGTGTTCTACCAAAGGACAAGTCAAGTCAATTTACAACTATTATTTCTGTAATCTTAAGAAAATCAACAATGCGTGAATCAAAGAAGTTCTACTAGCTATAGGTGCTTCTGCTCCAAATTGTGTTAAAGGACAATATTTTTTGGAAATTCAAGAAGGAAAAAACAAATTAAAAAATAGACAGTTGGGAAGATTTAGACAGGCATTAACTTGTAAGAAGATATATATATTATGATATATACATTTATTAAAATGAAATACTAAAAACAGTGAATGATAGTAGTGACATATCTATTAAGTTAGTGTTAAGGCTACAATGAAGCACATTTTTATTCACTAAAACCTTTTCTTTCCTATCTTTCTTATAATTTCAACAACATGCTTGCAAATTTGTTTTACTTTATCAAGATAATATGCCTTCTTATGGATTCTTTTCCACTGTCTGAAAATTTGTCAAAATGTCTGTTGGATTTTATAATTTGGAGTTTTTAATTTCCACATCCTGGTTCCTTGATCCTGAGACCGAGAGTAACTTTGATCTTTGAGAAGCTTTAGGGAGCTTCTATTTAATGTATTGGTCATAGATGAGTAAGTAGTCCTCAAATATTTTATCAGGCCCTTGATAACTTCGTGCTGAAGCCCCCCTTCCCCCTACAAGGCCTCTCCCACAGCCTCAGCCCACCCCTCCACAGGGCGACAAGCTGTACTTCCTCAGAGCTCTCTTCCCCAGACTTTACCATAGAGAAAAGATGCAAACAGAGCTCCACCTCTGTCATGCCCTCTCATTACCTTTCTTTGTACTTACCAATAGTTCCTTTTACATAAGCCAGATATGACTTAGTTCCTGAACACCAGCATTAAAACCCTACAGAGGAAGAATTGGTACATAATCTTAATGCTCACATGCAGGAATGCTAGTAGGATGACCTAAGTGAGTTTTAGTAAGAATGAATGTCTCTCTCATTCTCTCCACCCTCCACCCCCTCTCTTTTTCCCTCCAGTCGTAACAGACAAAAATACCTCAAAATATTTTGGTTAGTCCTTCCCCTGGCATGTGGCACTGTTTCTGCTGAGTAGACTCTTCAAGAAAGGAATCTTGGCCTGTATTCTCAGGACAACATTATTTCCTGGACACTCTTCTTTTCATGATGCAACCACACTGCAAACTGAAAGCATGATCATCTTTTCCAAAGAAATTAGAGAAGTAAAGTAATTATCCAATTGACTCAGAGGGGTATAACAAAGAAGAATCCAGAACTCATGTACCTATTTACTCATGTACTAGTATTCTATTTATGAATTTTAACAAGCGTTACATGATTTAATATATGCCTGTAAGACAGAGAAAGTCTTGAGGAGAAGGGATATTTGACAGATTTAAAAAAGTTTTTCTGAGAATAATAAACCACAGATTTAAACTAGATCTAATTCTCTTACCAGGTGACTATTGAAACTAAAGAAAAAATGCTAAGAGCACTTGGAAAACTTTACACCACTTAGAGCAGTGTTAGAACTCAATAGATACTTATGGGATGGTTTAAATGGTTCCAACAGAAAAAAAAAAAAAGAAAGAAAAAAAGAAACTCATGAAGATTTCCATTAGGAATGACTGTTACTGGGAAATATAATTCATTACACTGTCTCATAGGAATAAAGCAAACCCGATTGATGCAGGATTCAAAAGAGCATTGTAAAGCTAGGAAATGGAGTTACTATTTTGGAGCAGGGTAGTGCAACCCAAATGAACCCTCTATGCTATGTTTACTAAATTTGTACTTATGAAATAACCCGCAACTGCTAAATTTTTCTTTTCTTTAATACTTACTGTGCCATTTTCCAGGGGTAGTTTTTCTGTTCATATTTCTCTAGTGGGCCGTCAACTGTTACTTATTAAGGAATCCATCCCATTCTATAAATTTGCAACTGTCAATCACCAGCCCCTGGATATTAAGGAAAGCAACAAAAAGATTACTCAAATTGTATCTAAAATAAGAGAAATTCTGTTCCGAATAAAGAGTCAAATAGTCTCTCATAATAAGCTGTTTAAACCTTAGTATTTCACTTTTTCTTTATACTTTTGGAGTATTTGTACGACTTTTTGTTTTCTAATCTTCCCAAAACAATTTCAATTTATACTCATTGACCTGCCATTTTGGGGGAACAATACCATCTTTAATTTGTAAACACATAGCTGTTTATACAATAAATAATAAGCTCGTGGTGCTTATAGAAATTCTAGGTAAATGTCTATCAGTCAGGTTAGGAAATTGTTTCCCTCTAACTATGGCTTCCATGGGGAAGCACGTGAGGGCCTGGCACCAAACAAGAGCCATCAACAGGATCTTCCCATTCCAGTGGAAAGGGCTGATACATATGTTAATTTTGAAACTGGAGCCCTGTCTGACTTGAAATTCTTTCCGGAGGGTAATTAATAATCATCAGTCACAAAAGAAACTTTGTACAAACAATGAGTGGCACTAAATTCCCTGTAGGCCAAAAACAAACATATGGCTTTCAGAGAACTCAGCTGACAAAGAAAAGGAGAGTGGGTCTTCCAAAGTTGTAGTTAGAATTTGAACCATCAGCCTCTGCCTTTTTCATTGTTGTTGTTCATTGCTTTCACTTGGGTTACTTCTGTTATCACCAATATAGTAATTTTAGTTAGTTGGTCTTTTGGGCATAATTTTTACATTATCTGTAAACCAAGATGTTTTAGGTAGAATGCAACATTAGTAATCCTGCTCTTAAAGAGTAGTACAAAAAAGTCACAACTTTGACCTTTCCAACAATCTTTACAGGAAGTGTAAATATAAACACATTCAGATATATTTTATTGGTTTATCTAGGATACAAGCAATGCTCTTTTGAATCCTGGATCAATCTGGTTTGCTTTGTTCCTATAAGAGACAGCCCGGCCCTAGCCGGTTTGGCTCAGTGGACTGAGCATCTGCCTACAGACTGAAGGGTCCCGGGTTTGATTCCGGTCAAGGGCACATGCCGGGGTTGCGGGCTCGATCCCCAGCAGGGGGCGTGCAGGAGGCAGCCGATCAATGATTTTCTCTCATCATTGGTGTTTCTATCTCTCTCTCCCTTCCTTTCTGATATCAATAAAAATATATTAAAAAAAAGAGACAGTCCAATGAATTGTATTTCCTAGTCATAGTCATTCCTTATAGAAATCTTCATAAACTTTCAACAAGTGTTAAAGCATACTTGAAGTCACACAGGTATGATACTAGGTCACAATATAGGTGAATGCTATTTAGTATTAAGTAGTACATGAAGCCCATGCTTTAATATCTCATAGTTTATAATCATAATTTATACCTTTGGAATGCATCAAGTTTTGACAAGGTAGTACTTTTCTTATTAAGAAAAATTAGACATATTTTAGACTTTTTGTAGAGATATTAAACTAGCAAATTAAATACAAATAGGCATTTTTTCAAGTCAAAATTATTTTATATTATACTATAAATTTCCAACTACCTGAAAGTGAATGATGCAGTAAAAATTTATATAGAAAGTGGTCCTACCCCTTTTGAAAATATTGAACTCAGCAAAAGCAAACAGATTAAGGGTACTGTGTTGGTTTAACTCTTTCATTATTGTTGCAGGCCAGATTTTATTTTATTTTATTTTATTTTATTTTATTTTATTTTATTTTTATTATAGAAGGAGGACTCCAAGACAACAAATTACCAGTTCTATTATTTGCCTCAGATATCATGCCAAATTTAACATGTGATTTTTTCTTTGTTACTTTCTTATAATTTTCAAATGGCCTAAATCATGTTTAAGAATGAAAGTCAAGAATTTCATTTAAAACAGATAGAACTTTGCATTAAAAATTGGAATGGAAAATACAACCCATAAGCCAAAGTATCAAATTCAGGGTGTCTACACATCAACAACCAGTCCTAGCTGGCTTCCAAGTTTGGGCCAGAGGTAGCATTCTTGCACCAGCAACCCTTTAATCTAAGACCCTTCATCACTCCCTAGGCTACTGAGTCTGCCTCCAGGTTCTCCTGGTATCTACTTTGCCTCCCCCACTTCAGATAAGTTTTCTAATTGCTTCCAGAGTGAACTTGAAAATTTTAATTATCTAAATGCTTTATTGGCTTCCTATGTTCCAGGGATAATGACTTAAACCTGGATTCACCTGAAAGGTTGTAACTGCTTAGCCTTTTTCTCACGCCACCTTTGTCTCATATCTGATTTTCATCCATATCTTCCAGCTTCTAGTTCCTCCATTAAGCCAGATTTCCTCTACTTCTGGACCTGGCTCTTTCCTCTGACTGGTGGTTGAATAGAGGGGACCCCAGTTCTGGCAGCCTTTAGGGCTCTCTACTGCCGAAAGCTTGAAGGTCTTGTTCCAAATGCTGTGCTACTGAACACTTGTGTGAGAGGCAATGCAGGGAGTAAAATTTCTCCCACATCCTCTGAGGTACAAGCCCAGCTCTGATGTTTACTACTGATGTAATCATGGAATACTTACTTTGCCTCTCTATACCTCAGGTTCAACAAATATAATGGTGATTATTATTTTTTAAAAAATATATTTCATTGATTTTTTTACAGAGAGGAAGGGAGAGGGATAGAGAGTTAGAAACATCGATGAGAGAGAAACATCGATCAGCTGCCTCCTGCACACCTACTGGGGGTGTGCCTGCAACCAAGGTACATGCCCTTGACTGGAATCGAACCTGGGACCTTTCAGTCCACAGGCCGACGCTCTATCCACTGAGCCAAACTGGTTAGGGCAAGTGATTATTAAAGTACCTCACCCAGTGGATGGTGTGAGGATCAGGAGAGCTAATGGATATAAAACTCTTTTATCCTGCCTGGTACAGAGTAGACATTTCATGTATGTCTATTGTTATTGTTATTATTGTTCTTGTTAATATTACTTTAACTTAAGCTCCAACCAAAACACATACCACCAAAAAGTTCATAGGCCCCAAAGACTAGGCCGAAAGACAAGTGTCTCATGTATAAGCCAGTTTTGATATTAATGCATAATGACATAGGAAAGGAACAATTTTGAACACATAGAAGAGAATGAGCAAAATTTAATAAAAAAATTAATACTACACAAAAAAAGTGCTATCTCTCTGCATCACACCTGTCTCAGGGTTTCCCATTTCATTAGTGAGGTAAAAATATCAGACCATGCCACCCACTGTTTTGATATCATCATAATGGTCTTTCTCATTATAATTCCTACTAGTGGCCCAGTGCACAAAATTCGTGCATGTTAAAAGGGGATTAATTAGAGGAAATATTTCAATATTGCTATTTGCCCTTTCTCTATAATAGAAGTGTCAGAGATGAAAGAAAATTAGTAAAATGCATATGAAAATCTGCCTCCTGTCAGAGTCTGGGGTGCACCACGGGACCCAGAGTCAATCCCTGCCCACCCATGTGCGCCTCAAAATTGTGCAAGACCCAGACCCGGCCGGCTTGCCCCCCATTAGGCTAGATCCAGACCCGGCCGGTCCCACCCTTGTCAAGCCCCGCTGGGCTGGGGGCGCAGCCTGAGGTCCCCCAGCCTGGCTCCAGGGCCGTGGGCCTGGCCTGATGTCCCCTGTCAAGCCTCACCAGGCGGGGGGTGCAGCCTTAGGTCCCCCGGTCTGGCACTGGGGTGGGGGGCGCAGACTCAGGTCCCCTGGCATGGTGCTGGGGCGGGGTTGTGGCCTGAGGTGCCCTGGCCTGGTACTGGGGCTGGGGGAGCGGCCTGAGGTCCCCCGGCCCAGCACCAGGGTGGGGGCGCACCTTGAGGTCCCCTGTCAAGCCCCGCAGGCAGGGGGTGCTCCCATATTCTGAGTTTCTTCATTTAAATACAGTCATGGAGAACCATTCCTAAATGCTCTCTGCTACTATGGATTGTATTCCTGGAAAATGAATACAATAGTTAAAATGGATTTTTCTCCCAAGCACCTGGGTTCTTATCTGGACTGAAGATCTGGCTTACTTTTTAGCAGTGTCAATGGTGTGAACACACTGGATTGCATGCCCACGTCTCTGCTGTCCATGACAGAGCAAAGCATTTGGCTGGTCATGATGATTTTTGAGTTGGAACTGGGCTTTCCTCTCAGCCTTGTGAATCTAAGAAGATAGCTTTTAGCAACATCTTTATTTTATTTATTTTTTAAATGCCCTCAGAAACCCTTTTCTATTCCAAGTACCAGCTTATGAAGTAGACTTTAAGTCATCAGGCTATTGTTGGTGCAACTAACAAAACAACTGTAAGCAAATAAGCGGAAGTGGAAGATGTGACAGTCACCACACTGAGCAGGCTACAGACCAGTGCAGCTCCAAAGGAGTGCCTCTGGTTTTCCTAGTGCATGGACTAGACTTTTAACTGATCAACTTTGCTCTGGGATGTAACTGCTAGTCTTCTGAACACATCATGCATTGTAAGTACATGCAACTTAATTTTAAAAGTATATACAGGCTGTGAATATAATGTATACAAGAATAAAGTAACATGAATACTTTTTAGCACGTTTTTAATACTCATACTTAACATGAAGATTCCTAAAAATGGTTCATTTACGTAGAGACTATACCTTTTCAAGTAGTGTAATTCCTCAAAATATTTCAAAATTTCTTTCAGAACCCACCATACAAAATGATGGTAATTCTTTGAAATTAAATATAATTCTTGAAAACACACACATAAAAAGAAAATATAGTAACTAATTTGTGGTAATGAAGTTATTTATTACTTCATTACCAGAACAACAGGAACGACCAGTTGACCAGTTGCTATGATGTGCACTGACCACCAGGGGGCAGATGCTCAATGCAGGAGCTGCCCCCTGGTGGTTAGTGCACTCCCACAGGGGGAGCGCTGCTCAGCCAGAAGCCGGGCTCATGGCTGGTGAGCACAGCTGCTGAGGCTGGAGCCTCTCCCGTCTTTGCAGCAGCGCTA